AAAAAAAAAAAAAACACATCATAGTAAAATTAATACCTTCTCCGCTTCGCATCGAAGCTAAAAACCATATTAAAATCTTTATTTATTACTACAAAAATATCATATACATACCTAACCCAAATTTTTGGAAAATTATTAATTAGCCAAGTGATCAATTTTTATTTTAAAAATTTAACATGATTTAAATGACAAAACGGCCAATTATAATTGGTTTTAATAATAATTATTATAATATACAGTTTGTAAAAACAATTAAATGTTCATAATTTCTAATTTAATAATATTAATTGGTTCATAACCTTTTACGTCTATATTTATTATACCCTATTACCATTATTTTATTATAAACATTTTTCTTTTCGTTTTTCTTCTTCTGGAAGTTTTATTATTACTTCACCTTATGATTACTTTTTTTTTTAATAAATTAATCTAAGAAATAATAAGCTACAGAAAATCGATATGCAATTTTAATATTTCAACATAATTATTTATATTTAGGTAATATTTTAAACGTAAATTACTACATTTCTTTAGCAAGTAGCTATACAGAATAATTGCTTTATAATGATCCATGCATTATCTTTAAAAATATAAAACATAATATAACTTTTTCTTGTTAAAAGTTAATAATAATAGAAAAATTTAAATTATGATAAGTTAATTATGATAAGATGATTTATAAATATTTTATTATAATAATCATAATTATACGATATTGAACGTAATTAATATGAGAAAAATTATTAATCCTACATATTAGGAAGATAAAATTTTAAGTCTTGATTATTATTTATAGGTAAGTAAATTTCACAAGGTATTATTTAAAATAAATTAAATATTTGAAAAAGGAATAAAAAGAAGAAAGGCATTTACGCATATCTAATAGTCAATAAAAATTTTTTGTAGTAATACAAATAAAAAAGCTCTGATGCTGTTCCCCCACGATAATATTAATCATACAAGGTTTTTTATTCTCTCTTGTTGCAAAGTCATTTTACCGCAACTGGACTGAGTTACTGAAAAGTGAAGTTAAATCACTTTTTTTTTTTTTATAAATTATTTGATTTAATACAAGATTAAACAATAAAAACTTATTAAAAGTATTTAAAGCTGTAAAGTAAATAAAATTTCTGAAACGTGTTCTAAATTATCCATGACCATAAATTACGCTATGTATTAAAAATTTTAAATATGTTAACGATAGTTTTAAACTTGACAAATGGTGAACAATTTTTTGAAGTTTATTAATAGATGTATTAAAATTAAGATTTTATTTATGTAATTATAAGATATAATATGATATTTACTTAATATTTTAGTTAAAACTGAAAACCGATGTTTTGATTTAACTAAAACTTCCAATCTACAATTACACATAAAAATAAATTGTTAAACTATAAGCATAGTATGTTAAATCTATAGGTAAACTATTAATTTGACAATAGTTAAAATAACAAAATATTTGTTATCCTTTCAAAACAAAGTTTTCAGTAGATATTTTTATATTAATAATTTGATTTATTGAATTAAAAAATTGTTAATTATTACTACAAGCAGTTTGTACTGCCAATTAACTAATTAAATGTTTATAAATGTTTTACTAATATTCGACTGTACATTTTTTTATTGAAGTTTGTTGAATTTACTGATCATATTTTTTTGAGCTCTGGTATAAATCTGTAAACATCTTTTTTTCAATTAGCTCTAAGCATTTACAGCCGGTTTTTAACAAGTATTTTAACACTATCATTTTTTTAATCTTTTGTTTGCTCTCCCTTTTTAAGAAAAGGGACTTTTACAATACTTCAAAGCACATTGTTAAACCATACCCAGCTCAACTAGTGTTCAATTACACGAATGCTTTATCTCATACTAGGACAACGAGAAAATTTCTTTCAATACCCGGATTTTTTCTTTGAAAGATCCTATTACAAAAATACAATTTAATGCCTTCAGGATGTTTTCATTACCGATATCTCACACAAATGACTCCACTGTGTAATATCGATAGAACTATAAATTACACTTATACTATAGTATACAACTTATATCACACAGTTTATTAACCGTCTGCTTCCGATTAACCTCAGTCAACGTTTACGTTAAAAAATATAATAGTTGAATTTAAAGTGTACACATAACTCATATTAATACAATCAAAACTATTGTAGGAGTCATTGTTGTAGTTTATTATTATTAAATTCTATCACTTTATCAATTAAATTATTAATATCAATTGACAGTGATCGTTGATCTTCGTCATTGACATGATCGTAGATCGCTTTAAAACTACATTTTCCACATCTTTGTCTCTTTCACTTTCTTTTACATATCGACCTCATACTCCATACAGCTTGAATTTTTTAACATATTTGCTAACTGCACCCTTAACGCTGGGTTTGATAGCGACACATGTAGCTATATTTTCAGGCTGCTCCTTCCACACGACGTGAGGCACCTCATCTTGATTTAAAGCTTCGACAACACTCAACAACGCTGGTTCATCGGGTACCTTAAAAAATTGATAAATTATTATTTAAATCATTTTAGAAATATTTATCTAAATTTAAAATCAAAAATATATTTAAAGTAATATTAGTCACAAATGTTTAACTTTTATTACATTTATATAAAGTTAATTATTTTATGAAATGTACTTTATTGATATTTGCTCATTTATTTAATAAATATAAATCGAAAATTATACAAAAGGAGCAAAACTTTTATAAAAAAAAATGGTATTTTATTGGAAAAAAACCTTCATTATTTAAAAAAAAAATTAAGTATGAATATTAAAAATATTTTTGCTTAATTGTTAATTGTTTGTATCGAGTTGCGTTTTTTTTTTACTGTCCATAAAGTTTTAATCTCTCACAGGGTCAATTTTGCTGATCAATGGATCAAAAGAACCCAAATTAGATCTAGATAGAGAAATTTCTTTCAAAAATTCAAGTTTTTTGGAGGTACTTTTAGATTAAATAAATATAATTGTTCTAATGATTTGTATTCGATGAGAAATTATTCGCAAAGTAAAACAATATTTTTTTTTGTTAATTTAATTTTGTGGAATACTATCTAAGAAATTTTTTTCACGAAGTACTTTTAAAGTATAGACGTATTTCAAAAACTACACAAAAATTCACCCTTTCTCCAAAAAAAATTTCAACAAAGTTTTTTGAAGCACAGTTGTTTTTGTTGTACTTAATTGTAAAAAAAATTATATGATAGTGATATTAATCACTGTCAGATATTCCGACTATACTATATATTTAATTATTTTTAAACTTATTAACTGATAAATAGGAATCACTCACTTCTAATACGACTTTGTGCATATTTCCAAGATCTCGAAGGTAGGCTTGTGTATCCGGATCGGAATAATAAGTATGAGTGACTGCCACACAAGCATGACAGGCTTGAGCTATTACCGCTCCGGAGGGCCACTTTAAAGATCTAGCCAGATCACCACGAATCAGGACATATTGAACTAAAGATGTCATTTGGTGTCTAAAAATTTAATGATGCAATCATTAGTCATAATTAAAAATTAATTAAATTTTAAGACTGGGTAAAAAAAAAAACTAAAAGTGATTTAAAAATATGAAATTATGTACATTTATTTTTATGAAAAATTAAAAACTATTTAATAATACAAAAAATGTGTATAAATTTCAACATTCGTAAGAATTTCTTCGCCTGTAAACGGCCACAGCTCTAAGACGTATGTCTTCAAAACACAATCCAATGTCTATTTTCAAATTTCGTACTCTAACCTGTACATCTTCTCGCATCAGATCAAAACACATAGCAACAATGCCCATGCCTAGCAAAAGGTAAATGAGTTTTATAACCAACGTCATGGGATGATCGGCACCAGCTTTTGAATCCGGCATAGGGCCAAAGTTTTCAATTCCGATCTTACAAAGACTAGTCACACAAAAAAATGTGCTATCCATAATAGACCAACCCTCTAATGTATGAAATGTTATCGTGCCTGTTGCCACATATGCTACCAATACCCAAAGGCAGGCTGTGGATGGAACGATTACTCTAGACTTTTGCGGCAATTGAGAATTGTAGCCATCTCCACCTGCCTTATCTTCCATGCTACACCGGTACAGACACGTGTAAACCCATCGGAAAGTCTGAGCCAGCACCTAAAAAATATTTAAATAATGACCAACTATGGTTAATATATTTTTGATAATTTATGACTAAAATTTGAAATAAAATTAAGTTTTAATCATTAAACTTCTACTGTATAGTGAATTAAATTATAAAATATTTCATACTACAATATTACAGTATATTTTTATTCAAATAATCGTGAATTATTAAGAACATGTAAAGGTTATTTATACTTTTAATGATCAATAATATTTTAAAAAACACAGCACAGGGGAGTTCCCATTTACGGGGAACGAAGGAATTTTTTTCAATTTTTGAGGGTAATTTCTTTGACTAGATACGATTTGTGATTTTTTGACGTATCATTGAAAGAAATCGGTTCGGTGAGAGCTGAGAAAAAGTGGTAACAGACACAAAAAAAAAAAATAATAAATAAACACATTTTAGTAAAACCAATACCTTCTCAGCTTCACATCGAAGCTAAAATCCAGTTGTTGAATTATTGAAAATATGGAAACTTTAAGTAAAATATTAGATTTATCATGTACAATTATAAACTATTAGATACTACGTAAGTTTACTATACTTTTATGTAAATATAAATATACATAGTGGAATAGATCTAACTAACAACTCTTATAATATTATATTTTATTCCAAAACATTGAATTTTTAATTAAATAATTTCATATATCATAAATTTAAATATGTTTTAGATAATGTGTTCTATAATCTTTTGAATAATCTTAATTATACTACTAATTGTTTTTTCAAGTCAATTACAAATGCTTATTTAAATGTTAATAATTTTCATGGAAAAGAAATCGCGTACTGTTTATAGTAAATAACGTAATAAGTGTTTACTTCCGTAATTAACATTATATGAACTAATATTTGATACCAAAGGAAAATTGTATAAAATATCAAAATTTAACAAATTTCAAAATGCTACATAAACGTAAATACTGGATTAAAATAAGTTTGTGGTATCAAAATTTTTCTTTAAAAATTATCTATAAAATGTTTTTATAAAATCTTCAAATCTCAAAACAAATTTTAATAAAAAATTAATTTTTAAAACTTTTTCTGTAATTGCGAAAAATAACTTAAAACATATTTTAAATATAGTCCTATATTGTAAAAATTGATTAAAAAAAAAAAAATTATAAAATGTTATGTAGATCATAAGTTATATGAGTTGTCAGTCAGATCTGTTTCACTCTGTATATATATTTTTTAAAAAGTAGTGGCTAGAAGAAAAACTTCAATGAAAATTAATTTCTTCCGAAGTACATTGAACTTTGAAATTGGGAAACTAGCCAAGTAAATACTATATGTAATACGAATATTCAAAAATCTGTGGAACAATGTGGTGTTATTAAACTATTTAATACCCTTCATAAATAAAATTATACCACTTTCATTACTACCATATTTTTCTAATTATTATATATTTTATAGTATACATTGATCTTTTTCTCACCTTAATCCCAACTACTTGGGATCGGTCACCCTTATCATAAACTTCCACTTGACACATTCTTCTACATCATCTACGATCACGATTAGCCATCTTCATATCGCATTCAATAACATCTCTCCATCTCTTTTATGGTCTTCCTCTACCTCTTCTTCCTTCAACATTCATTTCTATAACTGTTTTTACAGCTTCCGATTCTTCTCTCCTCATATCATGACCAAACCTTCCAAGTCTATTTTCTCCCATCTTATCCACGATTGACGCTACACCTATACTCCCTCTTATATGTTCGTTCTTATCCTATCTTCTCTTATTAAAGTCTACATTGATACACTAGTAGATAAATGGAAACTGAAAGCAACCTTGCACGTCTTTATATATATAGTCTATTCAAACTAAATTGTTTAAAATATGTTTGACATCAAGAAAAATTTAAACGATACATTTAACTATCGGTGAAATTTTTTTCTTAGTTGAAATTACTGAAAATAGTCCAAAAAAATAAAACCATTACAATAAAAGATGACCTAAGCAAAAAACTACCACTTAAAAATTGTTATCATTTAAATCCTAATCGTCTAAAGAAAAAACTTAAAACTGATATTTGTACACATATAAATATTTTATAAAAATTTGTTTCAAAATAAAACTATGATGTTAATAATATAATACATTCATTTTAAAATTTTCAACAAAGAACAGAAAAATATTTTTTTATCCCTCATTACCTTAAGAAAACAACTTTAGAGGCATTTTAATTTACTAGATGAGTTTTTGATTAAAGTGGTCCTTACATACACCATAAAAATGATTTACATAAGTTTTTGGCGATGCTAAGTAGTCAAAGTATATTTTATTATACTAATATATCTTATTTGCGCTTATGCCTACGTCTAAACTCAAATCCAATATAAAATGATAATAGCGCAACTATTTTCCATTAAAATGACCTTTAAATTGACAATTGATAGAATTCATTGTGAAAATTAATTTTAAGGATAAAATAAAATATAATAAGAATTATTCTATTTTATACAAAAAATCTATACAATGACTAACTTTTTTAATGGTGAGAAGTCTGAGTGCCCTTAAGTCCCCTCCTTAAGCCTCCCTGACTCTAAGTGCTATAAATTGAGAGGAAAATATAGACTTTTATTGACTTACTTTTCCCATGTTGCGAAAATAAAGTACGTACAAAGGTATGCCGTATATGGCGTACACTACAGTGGCAACTTTGCCCTGAGGTGTCTTAGGTACGACGTTACCATATCCATTCATTGTGAAAATAGATAGAGAAAACATTAAGGCGGTAGGGAAAGACCAAGTTTCCTCGGCCGTTCTACCGTCGTAGCCCTTTTTGACAATTACAGAAAATTTCTCCTCAAAGTGCCTAAGCGCCAGCGTAACTTGACGTGTCCAGTTACCCTTACTGAGTACGTTAAATGTCTGAGTGGCATTCCAAACGTCGGCCGAACAATTGTTTCGGAGCTGTTCAACCAAATACTTCTGTGCATCGCCGGCTTGGCCTTCAATCTGCATGAAACAAAACGCACCTACCACCGCGTAGCCAACCACTAGGCCACCGACACCGACTTGCGTACACATAAACGCCACTAACTTGCGGCAGCACTCTTTTAGTCGCTCCTTTGGGTTTTCGGTGTAAAGTACCACCGACGACGACCCGGTACTGCTTCTATCGCCCACCGGCAACATTGCACGGTGCTTACTAACATCTTTGTCTACTGGACTATGCAAAGCACAGACATGGCGGCCGACGCAGCATTATCCGTGCCAAGTAGAGTCGCACCAAAATAGAAACGGAGCAATAGGCGTGCAACGCTTGAATTCATTTATACTGATATCAAACGATAAAATTTTATTTGTTATTAGCTACCAGTATAGCCTAAGTAAACATATTGTTTTAGATTACACGAGTACAGATAGATAGCACCAAAAACTATTCACTTATCATAAATCTTTTGATAATGGAAATATAGTTTTTAATTAAGCGTCATAAATATAAATTGTAAAATAATAATAACATTTAACGTCAACAAAGCAAATAAAATTATGTTTTTCTTACTTACTAAAGAAAGAATTAATTTTTAAATAATTAAAAAGAAGCTGAAGGTATTCACTATTGAAACATAGTTACACTTCAAATTAGATACGATTTTAGCTTCGATGCGAAGCTGAGAAGGTATTGGTTTTACTATGATGTGTTTTTTTTTTTTTTTTTGTGTCTGTTACCACTTTTTCTCAGCTCTCACCGAACGGATTTCTTTCAACGATACGTCAAAAAATCACAAATCAGTTTTTATAAACAATACAGTTTTTTCATGAGAAATAGTATTTATATACATCTTTCATTGGGTATACTTTTTTTTTAAATCAGACCATTTCCCTATATATGGGGGGGCTTAAAATATAAAAAATGCATATATAAAGTAGAACTTTTTCAACTTAACTTTTGAAAGTGTTCCGGAAGGTCTGACACTTTTATATATATCTTAAATTGAAGCTTATGTAATATACTTTAATTTGAAAAAAAAAAATTGACCTCTGGACTTGTCTTCATGGTGAAAACGGCTACCGTATGCTATTTTTGTGTGAAAATTCTTGATTTTATTATTTATATTATATTTAACTTTATAATGCTATAACTTATTGAAAAGTTTATGGATCCACACAATTTTTTTATGAGAAATAATATTTTTTAATAAACCCTTTTTCATTCGACATACTTTATCTTAATCGAGATATTAATAAGGAACCAGCAGATCAAGTAGCTTTTGGAATAAAACACCAATTTTTTTAAAATTAAACACTATCTAAAGATTTGCATCGAAGCGTTTATTTTTGATAGTGATTTTAATCACTGTCAGATATCATTATACTTGATCCAACTATGCCACGTCACCACTGTGCCGCGACCCCCCTGTGCTGGGTTTTTTTTTCACAAATAAAAAATACTAGCTATAAGAAGATAAAATGTATGATAAATATAAAACATTATCTAATAACTAAAATAATTAATATTTTACTGTACATCAATAGTAATTATATAGTTTTTATGTAAATACTATAAATATAGATAACCCGAAACAAAAAAAATACATAAATTATTATAAATAATATATATAAATATAATAGTTATTTAAATAATACTAATTAATATTGAATCGTGTAAAAGAAAAAAAATTTAGATTAAAAAATTTGTAAAATATTATTTTCATCTTCTTCTTCTTCTCCATTTTCATAATAATTAAAATAGTCAACGTTATTAATTTCGTTTAGTAATAATCATTAAAAGATATTTGCTCTGATTCAGAATTTAATTCACTTATACTAGCAGATAAATCGGAATTAAAGTTAAATCCAAGTTTATAAACACATTCCATTTTAAAATAAAAAATCAATAAGATATACTTTTCTCTCATATATGATATAAATGTCCCCTTGAAAGTTGAAGAATTTATATAATTCTTTCGTAAATCTTCCAATTTTGGTATTGATGGCTCTTCTTCAACACAAAAATTTTTTTCTCCCATTACATTTTTATTTATGTCTTCTTTAAATTTCACAATAGGTTCAACCATTTGATCAATAGCAGATTCAACTTGTTCATGTTTTTCAATATTACATTTCAGTACATTGAAACGTTGATCCATATCCTGACTACTTGTATTTTCATATAATTCTATTAAAGGCGTATCAAGAAACGAGACATCTACTATTTTCAGAGATTTCATGATCAAAATTGCCTTAAAAAAGAAAATTGTAGATTCTATTATAATTTTTACTTCTACATAAAGACGTTGTGCGTCATCAATATCATAGAGTTCTGTATCGTATTTTTTTAACTCAGTTACCATATATACAATATAGGTAACTAAATCAAGCAAATTATGAGCATACTTACACATAATTATCGAGCTTACGTGTTTATCCGTCAATATTATCTCATTTGAATTCATTATGTCATTATATGATAAAGACTTTCCATTTTCAATTATTTTAACATTTTTGAATAACTCCCAGCCTTGGTTTTTCGTTATTGTTTGGGCGAAGTTAGGACCATCATACTGTAAGGTCAGTTGACAAGTAAAAAATATTATCAAAATAAAAACTTGAATCATGATTAAAAAATCCGGTGTAACAACTTCAAATACGTTAAGTAAAAATATTTTTGATAATTTAAACATCTTATAAAGATTTATATTTAAAGTTGTATTTTTTATTTATTTTTAAATATATCTTTTATAAAGTACATAAAATCGGTTATAAAACATATTTGTAACTATTTTCAGTTATTATTTGTATATAGTTTTATTTATTTTGTTTTTTTCTACTAAGAAAAATACATGTATTGTTTTAAAGACGTGAGGTGTTTTGAATACTACCAAAAATTGAAAATAAAATAAACTTGACATGCTGTTAATTTTAATCCCTCCTTAATTATAATAGGAGTAATTTTCATGTATTTTTATTTCAAAAAACTAATAGAAGTAAAAATAAATATTTAAATAAATTATCTGAAATTTTTTTTCTATAATTAAGTAAATTATACATTAGGGTGGTATTTATTTATATTTAGTGATTTTTTTTTAATAAATTTGATTCTAAGTAATCGGAATTTTGTTTAATACAGTATACAGAAAATATTAGTGAATTTTGAGCGTCCTAGGTCAACCCTTTCACGTGTCTCAATGGGGTTGAAAATTGACAAAAAGATATTGAAATTTAGTTTTTTGTATATATCTTTTTAATTATTATAAATAGAAAAAAGGTTAGTGTGCTCATAATTTGCTTGATTTAGTTATCTATATTGGATATATGGTAACTGAGTTTAAAAAATGCGATACAGAACTCTATGATATTGATGACGCACAACGTCTTCATGTACAAATAAAAATAATAATTTATTAAAAAATTATAAGATTTACGAAAGAATTATATAAATTCTACAATTTTCAAGGGGACATTTATATCATATATGAGAGAAAATTATATCTTATTGATTTTTTATTTTAAAATGGAATGTGTTTATAAACTTTGATTTAACTTTAATTCCGATTTATCTGCTAGTATAAGTGAATTAAATTCTGAATCAGAGCAAATATATTTTAATGATTATTACTAAACGAAATTAATAACGTTGACTATTTTAATTATTATGAAAATGAATAATCTACAAATCTTTTAATCTAAATATATTTTCTTTTATATGATTCAATAGTAATTAGTATTATTTGAATAGCTTAACACTTAATAACAAATGACATCAAATTTTCAAACTTCTAAAATAAGGACCACTCTATTACACATATATAAATAAAGTTTATTCCATATAGAAGCTTAATAGGTTCTTAAAACTATGTTTTAAAGGACAATTGAGCAAAAATGTATAACTCTAGTGCCAACAAGTTAACAATTATAGTGATATTGCTGAATGTTTAATGAAAATTAAGAATAATGCTGACAAAAATTAATACCAAAAAAGTTTGTTATCATTTATCACAAATTTCAAATTTAAAGAAACGTTTTAATAATATGCTTTCCCTATAGTGCTATTGTTTGATGTTATTGCAAGAAATGTGTAATATATTATATTTTATAATGAATTTATTCCAATTAAACTGACTACTGGTCTACAGGTAATTTAGAAAAAATGCTGAAAAGATGAGTTTTGGTATTCACCTTAAATGATTGGTTTTTAGTAACATACTTGTTGAACGCAGCGCTCGGTGGTATTCACGTTGGTTCGTTAACGTTCGTGGTTATATTTTGTCTTAAGTCTTTAGCTATATCGAGGATAAGGAATGAGCTGAATGGACTGTATCTTTGAATGTAGAATGAATTTTACAATATATAATTATAACAATTAAACGTATTATACAAGAAATATAAAATCTTATATACACCAATGTGGATAGGGGGACACTTAATACTAATGCCACAAAGGCGCTGATATAAACAAGTAAAAATGATACAAGTTAGTAAGTCTTAGAAAGATAGATGAATAAGCATTATACTTATCGGCTAAATAAAACGGCTGATGATAATGTTGAATATTGAAAAAATCAATTAAAGTCGAATGCAAGTAGCTGACCAACGTGACAATATGCTGTGAACGACATTTCAATGTATCTTAAAAAATATATAAACTCAACGGCGATAAACTGAACGAACAGAGTGCGACAATCGCAAAGGTGATATTTTTCTTTTACAGCAAAACGAATACGAAATTACTGGCTCGCAAACGCTATAGAGCTTATAGCAGAAGAAGCGTTAAGATGGCTGCGACAATGCAGACATAGAGAGAAGACCAACAACAACTCGATGTAACACAACGATAACATGAATAATCACAACACAATTTCTTGACAGCATATTCGACCGATGTGTATCCAACAATACTAAAAATCCCTTAAGATAAGATACCTGCTAGCTCAGATATGTATTTTATCTCATCTTGCATTTCATTACGCGTTAATATAGTAATTGAAGGGCTTACTGCAACAACCAGATAAATCCACTTTTTGAAATTTTTCAGGACAATGTAAATTTTGTTTAAAAACTATTATTTATACTAAAATAGTCTCATCAAAAAGTATTTGAATTCTACACTCATTTTTACATACATATTTGAAAAAAAAATTATTAATATTGAAATATTGTTAGTCAAAGTTGAAGGGAGCATGAATTTATCTAGTTGTTGCACTGAAAAACACTTTATTTTTTATTAGTACTCAAATTAAGTCAA